GATATGGCAATTATTCTTCCTTTCCTGACAAATGAAAGGAGGATGAGATTTAAAGTGTCATGGTTTGGGAATATGAGAAATACTTCTACAATCTATTGTCCACAACAAACGTATATATATTATACAGGACTTATTTGAATACAGACAAGCAGTAAATGTATTCAAAACATAAATAATGTTTCGAATACCTCAAACATTTACCTTAATTTTTCATACATAATATCCAAGATTACTGTTTCACATTCAGTATTATTTAAATTTACCAAGTCACCTTTGTCATTTAAATCTAGACTGCACAATGCACTATTAAAACCTACAAATAAGGAATAATCCTACACTGGTATGATGATGGACTAAATTATGTAAACCCCTCGTCCCCCATTTCAACGTTTGAGTCCATCAACTGAATTCACTGGGTACATAAGAATGGCCATTCTGGGTCAGACTAATGGTCCATCTAGCCCAGTATATTGTCTTCTGACAGTGGCCGATGCCAGGTGCTTCAGAGGAAATGAATAGAACTGGCAATCATCGAATGACCTATCCTCCTGTCCTCCACTCCCAGCTTCTGGCAAACAGAGTCTAGGGACACTCAGAACATGGTGTTCCATTCCTGACCATTCTAGCTAATAGCCATTGATAAACCTATCCTCCATGAACTTATCTAGTTCTTTTTTAAACCCTGTTATTGTTTTGGCCTTCACAACATCCCCTGGCAACAATTTCCACAGGTAGACTGTGTGTTGTGTGAAGAAGTATTTTCTTTTGTTTGTTTTAAACCTGCTGCCTATTAATTTCATTGGGTGACCCCTAATTCTTGTGTTATGTGAAGAAGTAAATAATATTTCCTTATTCACTTTCTCCACAGCAGTCAAGATTTTATAGATCTCTATCGTATCCCCTCTTAGTCATCTCTTTTCCAAGCTGAAAAGTCCCAGTCTTTTTAATCTCTCCTCATATGGATGCTGTTCCATACCCCTAATCATATTTGTTGCCCTTCTCTGTAACTTTTCCATTCTAATGTATCCTTTTGGAGATGGGGCGAACAAATCTGCATGCAGTATACACACTGTAAAATACTAAAGAAAGGATTTTTATCTTTCTCCCCGTGTCCCCTCCCCACTTTACATACTAGGAACGTCCATATAAGGTAATCATGACTAGAATGTGGAACTAAAACTGACCGCTTTAAATATTTGAAAACTGCTAGAAAAACCAGTCAGCAACAAAAGGACTAGTTACTTGTATTCAAATTTGCATAAACAGAAACCTAGATTGCCCAAACTCATTTCATGACTGTTACATCCTTTGAAACTAACAAGATTTCTCCATAGCTGCAGTTGCATACCTAGTTCATATGCTAATTCACCAATGTGACTTTTCCATGATTTTATGTACATGTACCTATATAGAGATATATATTTATCTCAGTTTGCAATTGTGAACGAAGGTTCATTTTCCAAAGTTATAACTCTACACATTTATACACTGAACCTTCAATCCTTTTTTTCAATAGTTTATTACCAGACAGGTCATTGCAAAGGCAAACAACTACATTGATTATGAGAACATTATTTGAGAAATATGTTGACAGAATAAATCAATAGTCAATACAGTTAATTGATTTTTGAGTTCATACTTTTTCATAGAAATCTCTACAGATATTTTTACTGATGCCATTGAGCGTTTCTGATTTAAGGAGAAGAGCATTTGCTTTATAAGCATCACTAAAGATCAAAAGTATTTGTATTTCTTAAATACAGTGATCAATCTCTCTTAATTTGTCATAATCTGGGTATAAGCAATGTTAGTGCAAAAGAGATTCTTATAAAAGTTAAAGTAGGAAATAATTACAGCAAACCCAGACTATATTGTACCCAACTGTTCCACAGGAATTTAAAATATTTTACAAACTTACTCTCACAAAATTTACAGCTTACAGTAAATATTTAATTGGAACAGTTATAAAGTTCTGTATTCAAAAACATTACTTCTTAAATTAGATCTTAGATTTTACAGTTTGGCAGGCAAGCAGGCAAAGGAGGAGCTAATGCTATCCTGACCTCCCTCTACTGTGATGCAGAAGGACAGCTAGTAAGCAGTTGGAACAGGATAAGGGACAATATCCGCAACTGTTCATAGTGTTCCTTTCTCCCATCAGAGCTGGTCCTGAGGCTTCAGGGAAAGAGGTGGGAGGCAGTGCCCTCTGCCTCCGGTCCAGAGTGACAGGCCTGATTCAAACACTTCAGTTTAAAAATTGCAGGACACAGTTCAGAAAACATACTTCCACACAAATTTTCTTCCTAACAGACTTGCTCTCAAGAGCTGAAGTTGAAGCCTGAAGTGGCCCCTCAGCTACAAATTGGACACTACTAGTGTATAGCATACTCAGAGTACAAGATAAAACCTTGAGAAAAGTAGTGTTAGTAGTTTATACACGAAGGATAAAATATGAATGACATTTTGCAAAAGCTGCTCAAAATGTGAAACAACTGCTGACATTTCCTTTCTTGGGCATAGCTGTTCTCTGTACTCCAAGCTGATGAATTCTGAGTAAAACCAACTGAATAACAGCTCAAGGTGTAAATAATGACATAAAGTGTCATCCCATCTCATCCAGCTGGAAGTAGAAAGTTGGAGAAATGGAACAAGCAATAATAAGCTCTAAAGAAAGAAAAGAAAAAAGATAAGCAGTGAACTCTGAACTACTCAGTAGATGAAACCATCATAGGAGCTGCTTTAGAAAATCATTCTTAAAACAAGAACTGATTCCATGTTTTTCACTTATTCTGAGTATATAAAATACAAGCGGTATTGGGGTGTTGTGTCATTAATGGCCATGTTGGAGCAATAATTCAGAGAGACAATAAAACCTGAAAAATTACTGCACAGGATTGAAAAACACAGCACTGCTGACTCTCTACTTACAGGACAATCTAATGTTTGCTGCTTGACATCTTGGTCCCCAGTAAACCCACGTGCAACATAGGCAGCAATCAGTTTGAAGAATTACTGTATATATAACTAAACATGCCAGTATTTGCATTAAATTATCTTGTTCATAACTGACCACTTAAAATTCATGTTTTAGGATTCAGTATATGATTAATGGCTATATTTCCCTTCCCCCAATTCAATTTTCCTTGATGAAATATCTGGCTTATGAAGAAAGCTCTCATTTTTTAAGGCCAATGCCAAATTTTTACACTACCCTAAACCAATTAATCATTTCCCTTCTTGCCAAGAAACTACTATGAATACAAATACACAGATCTAATATATTTCAAAAAGATTAGTCATTTATTAAACTGGACTAAAAATGTATCTGACTTAGAAGGACACATAGCAGTAAGCCAGTCATTTATAACAAAGATGGCTCAAGATTTAAAAGGAACATTATCTATTTAAGAATTAACAGATGTTGTGACCATGCTGTTTTTTTATAAATATTTTTCCATGAACAAAAATATCATGGTGTTATGCATTAGACAAGCATATAATTTAAGGAGGGATTGAATAGTGTAAAGAGAGGAAGCCCTAGTTACCCACCGGCCAGGAAGAAATCACAGAGCTTCACATGCTCTTGGGAAGGACCGAGCTCTCCAGTGGCAAGATACAACCATCACATTATGTTACCACGGTGCATTTCCTGCACGAGGAATTACAAATGTCACATATTTTATGTGCCTTAGATGTGATTATAGCATCACCATTCATACCAAAATAGTTAAGTGTTTGCCTGTCTTTCCATTACAAATTCTTTTTTGGGGGCTCTTCTAGGACTAGTTTGTAAAAATTAATTCTGGGCTGAAACTTGCTATACAAACACCTGAAAGAGCAAAATAAAACAAAAAAAAAATTCTATTTGTCAGTTTCTAAGGTGAAATTTTAGTTTGTTCTTTAAACAGTCCTTAAAAGTGATTCGACTGTACTTTGTAGCCCTTAGTCCAGATTTTGACTTAATCACTGTTGCCATAAAATATATTTTTAAAAGAACAAATTAATATTTCTTTGTAGAATAAAGTTATTGGATATAAAAATACATTTGCAAATCCTTTTCTGAAAGTATTTTTGCCAGTGGATTTACCACAGATATGCAGCTCTCACATTAGCCCACCAAACCGAGTATCTTCAAGGTGTAATTACAGTTCACTGGGTCAGAGATCTATGAACTAAAATCTCTAACATGGCCTTGACTATGGAGATGTCACGGACTACTGAGTACAGATAATCTACAAAATCCCTTCATTATGTAATTATATGATAGGCTGTAGTAACTCTCAAGAATATTAAGCCAAGCAAAAAACCCACAGACCCTATACAGTTAAGGACCTGACTAAAATTAGCAAACTAAAATAAATATGTAGGTTATCTTCTATTTCCATGATAAAGTGCATTTTCAGTGCTGAGAAGCTGATTTAGACATTTTAGCCTTCAGCTGTCCAAGTTATGGCAAACATAAGTAAGGCCATTAATTAATGTTATCTTAAAACTGTTTTTGTGCTGTTATACATGTATACTTGGGACAAAAATCCAAACTATGATTCACAAGATTCTCTCTAATGCATGTTCACCATATTCACTATAGTAGTATACATGGTACTTGAAACATTGTTCAAGATTTAAACGGCATATCAACTAAAGAGTAGAAACCCTTATTTATTAAACAATGTCACTTAAACACATTGGTTTTCTCATATCTTTTATTTCAAATTATGAAAATTATATTATATATAAAATAGGCAAAAGAACCAAATTTCCATGTAGGTCACGGGTGAATTTTCTTGTTTTACACATCTAATATGGACTCCACTAGAATGAAGTAAGGTGACTGAAACAAATATTGGCTACATTTCTTACATGTTCTCATGTAAAATAATTGCTGTTCTATAATTACCTTCTGCTTCATTTCTGATCAGTTGTAAACAACGGAAAACACTGATATATTTTTCCTTTCAAAATCAAGTATGCCAGCTACTGTAGTATCATCTGCCACTCACCTCAGCCACCTGCTGTGTCTCCACTATCTGCTGAGCCAGCACCTCCATATTGGTTGCCATGGTGAAGCAAGATCATTAGAGAACCTGTTTGGAAAGATGCCAGCAACTTCCATCAGGCAAAGAAAATGAGACTTTTTGTCACTGTTATTAATTAAAATTAAATCTGTGGTGCAGCTTTACATGAATTTACACCACTGCCAAATACATCTGACAAATAAGAAAGCAGTGCACATATTCACTGCAAATATGGGACTACTGTTTTCAAGACACAGATATTCTAAAATTATAAGCAAAAATATAATTTTACTTTTATATTTTAATTTTATAAAATATTTGTACTCCACCATTTAAAAACTGGCAATTAAGAGATCTCTATTTTGAAAATGAGATAGGGCAAATTTGAACTTCAACTATTGGTCCAATTTGTGGAATTCACACTTCTTAAAAAAGCTTTAATTAATTCCTAGTTTGTGAGGTGAAGAAAAAAATACACTTAAATGAAAAGCCTCTATGTCTTGCTGTGCTGGGCAAGGAGGTGGCTACCAGAGAAAGGTATTTGAGCACATTCTTATTGAACTCTTTTACCAGACTACCATTATCACCTGTGTTTTTGTCATAATCCTGCATTGGCAGGGAAATGGCCTAGAATATCTAATGTATCTTTTCAATCTTTAACTTCTATGTTATATTTTACAATGATACTATGATACCATTATAACTGTGAGACGGAAACTCTGGTGAATGTAACTGCAAGTTAATTCTCTGACAAACTCACAAATAAAAACAAGATGTAAAACAAAAAGAAGGGATTAATCACCAGCACACAAGCACGTCCAGAAAAATTTAAAACGATGGTCCTTAATACAGTTTCGTTTCTCCATTCCTATTTTAAATTAAGAAGTCTTTTGTGCCCTCTCTGAAAAATTAACAGCTGAAATAATCTATTTTAAAATGATTATACTAAAAACTTTGCATGATCAGCCCTAGAAAGTTAAGTATCAGCAAAAGCCAATGATGGCCATTGGCCAATGTTCTGGCAAAATGTAGTGCTTGATAATGCTAAGATAATCAACTCCTCTCTTTCTTGCAATACCCATATTAAACAGACTCTCTACTTGTCTGTAATCATTTTTAGTCCCAATTTGCTACTAAAATGGTTGCGAACCCTAACCTAAATAACCATTCAAAAGGTCAAAATATTCACCTTGAGCTTTAAAGCTTTGCACATCGATTCTGAAGAAATTGGAGGAATGGCAAATGAATATTTAAGGAGGAAGAAAAATGTTCCAGTTTTCCAGTAATATTTTGTACCATGTCTTCACAGACAATCACTGCACATCTTAGTCAAGCATGAAATTGACTAGGAGTAGTAAAAATCCTTGGTAGAGCATGGAAGCTAGGAATGTGAAAATAAACATTTCTGATTTTTTATCTTAAGTCATTTTTAGAGAAAGTCATGACCTTAATTTCAGTGGACTCTTCCTGGTTATTATATCAGTTTAATTCCTCAAACTAGATGCCAGACTGTATGTGGAAAAGTGGTGACAAGTCAATTACTATCCCAACAGAAGATACCACTAGAACTTATTGTAACTGCATGTCTGTATTTACATTATGAATTATAAATTGTTGCTGCATCATTTTATTGTAGCATTATTATGAGTTAGGTTGTTAAATAAAATGCTGAATTATATACCAGTGGAGCTTGCTAATATGATAGGCATACAATGTTATGATGTAAATAGATGGCGGGATTGGGGCAGGGTTTTAAATAACTTTCTGATGAAAAGAGAAACAGACCTCTTAAACATACCAAATTATAACTGGTTATTTTAATACTGTATTTACAGTGTATGAAAAAGTCTAGTAGTCAAAGGAAAATGTGGTTTTGATTGCATGAGGGCACTGGGACCTGCTGATACTATGAAATAGATGACAGTTGTTTGCAACAGTAGCAGCTGAATATTGTGCAGCAGTAAGCTTAGAAAAGAACAAATTATGTTCAGTACCATTTTGGCTAGCCATTGTTAAACGCTGGTGAGCAGTGTCTACCAATGATTAGCTGAAACAGCTGAATAAAGTTTGTCCTTTTCAACACATTCCAAGTGAAATTGTGGACTCATTAAAGTCTATGGGAGCTTTGCAACTGACTTCAGTGGGGCCATGATTTCATAGTTCATCTTTATATGGTCTCCTCCTCTTTACCAGTGATTTGTAGGAGTATAGACATTTCAGTGTTCAGAGCTTTATCTGTGCATCTCCTGTTAAGCATTAAATGAAACTGCACAGCTGAAGTCCTGCTCATCAAGAATTAACTCTTTACATTTTAGGATTTGGGGTCCACCTTCTCCTGTTCCTGTGAATTTTTGAATTCACTTCCACAGTGTTGTATATTATTTATATTGCAGTAGTGTTAAAAAGCCTAACACAGGTTGGGCCCCATTATGCTATGCACTGTACAATAAATATCATAAAGCCACTATATAAATCCATGGTACACCCATACCATGAATACTGCATGCAGTTCTGGTCATCCCAGCTCAAAAAAAATATATTAGAATTCACTTATTCCTTACTCACATTCTCCACACTATTTGTGATTTAATAGACCTCTATTATATCCCGCTTTAGTCATCTCTTTTCTAAGCTGAACGGTTCCAGTCTTTTTAATCTCTCCTCATATGGAACCTGTTCCATACTCCCTAATCATTTTTGTTGCCCTTCTCTGTACTCTTTCCAATTTTAATATACTTTTATTGAGAGGGGGTGACCAGAACTGCATGCAGTATTCAAGATATAACCATATCCATATCCATGGATTTATATAATGGCATTATGATATTTTCTATCTTATTATCTATCCCAGAGGTTCTCAAACTGTGGTCTGTGGACCACCAGTGTTATGCAAGCTCCATTCAGGTGATCTGCAGATAGTTCCCTCTAAGATGCGTGCAGACATGGCTCCACAAATTAGGTGCCTGTACCCTGGAGAAGACACACATGTACGGTGGGGTAGTGGCCTTGGGAAGAATAGTGGGTAGGTGGGAGGGGGAAGTGCGGTGAGAAGAGGGGGTGGGGGGAATTTGAGATGTGCAGGGCTGCGGAGGCCAGAGAAAGTGGTGACTTTCCTCAGCTCCAGGGCTGCAGCTGCTGGGGAGAGACAGCCCTCCTTCCCAGCCTCAGGTCTGTGGCTGCTGTGGTGGGGGAGAGACCCCCTGCCTTCCCAGCCCCAGCTTGGGGGCTCCTGAGGTGGGAGAAAGAGGGAGAGACCCCCCCTCCTTCCCAGCCCCAGTTTGGGGGCTGCCACAGCAGGGGAGAGAGGACATATCCATTGCATTAGAAAGATAAGACTACTGGTACTAAAACATGAGTTGTGTGCTTTTATTTGTAGAACAAAAATGTTTATTATTAAGTTTTTTTTATGTAGTGCTTTTATCCAAAGCGCTTTACAATAGTTAGCTAACGGTACAAACAACATTTGGAAAGATCATTAAGTGGTCCGCCGAGACCCTCAGCAATTTTCAAGTGGTCTGCGAAAAAAGAAGTTTTTTCTGGATATCCCTTTCTAATACTGTTTCTGCTTTTTTTGCCTGTTGTTTCACATTGAGCAGATGTTTTCAGAGAACTATGACGACTCCAAGACCTCTTTCTTCAGTGGTAATAGCTAATTTAGGCCCCCTCATTTTGTATGTATAGTTGGGATTATGTTTTCCAGTGTGCATTACTTTGCATTTAACATTGAATTTCATCTGCAATTTTCTTGTCCAGTCATGCAGTTTTGTGAGATCCCTTTGTAACTCTTCACACTCAAGTTGGACTCAACTATCTTGAGTAATTTTGTATCATGTGCAAATTTCATCACCTCACTGTTCACCCATTTTTCCAGATCATCTATCAATATGTTGAACAACACTGATCCCAGTACAGCTCCTTGGGGAACCCTGCTATTTATCTCTCTCCACTGTGAAAACTAACCATTTATTCCTACCTTTTGTTTCCCATCCTTTAACCAATTATGGATCCATGAGAAGACCTTCCCTCTTACCCCATGACTGCCTACTTTGAGCAAGAGTCTTTGATGAGGGACCTTGTCAAAAGAGCTTTCTGAAAGTCCAAATATACTATATCCATGGGATAACCCTTGTCCACATGTTTGTTGACCCCTTCAAATAATTCTAATAGATTGGTGATGCATGATATCCTTTTACAAAAGCTGTATTGACTCTTCCCCAATAAATTATGTTCATCTGTGTATCTGATAACTCTGTTCTTTGTTACAGTTTCAACCAATTTGCCTAGCACTGAAATTGGGCTTACTGGCCTGTAATTACTGGAACCCTTTTAAAAAATTGGGCCCTGTTCCCAGTTTCAGCCCAAGCAGGGGAATTTTGGGGGAGGGAGGAAGGGATGTAATTTCCAAGGCCGATGGCAGTAGTAGGCCTTGCAGCAAGGAATATCAGTAAGGAGTGTTATGAGGTATAAGCAATCCTTTCCTCAGAACATGGAGCAAACAGGGAAAGAATGTGAATCTCCCTTCTGAGAGAGGGAGATAGAGACTAGAGTCTCTCCAGTTGAAGGACCTGGGAAAGCGTGGGATGGATTTTTGAAAAAGGAGGTGACAATGCCCAATATAAGACCTATAAAGACAGCCAGACAGATGAGTAAGGACCCTTAGGAGGGGGCGTTGCTTTGGTAAAACAGTCAAAAAGTAAACCATATCTTGAGAGAGGAATAAAGGAACTGTGGCAATCTAGGCCCAAAGCTGGAGATTGCAAAAGGAGAGCATGAGCAACCCTTTGAGAGACCAAATAGGCAGCATATAGATCCTGGAAAGAGAATATACATAATCCACTGAAGGAGGGCTCAGACTCAGAGAAAGATTGGGTGAGGTGTTGTTATTCTTTGAGAGGGGAGAAGACTGATAGATTCATGGAAGATTGTGATCCAAGGAAGAGTCTAGATGAAGGTTTTGGACTTTTATTATCCTGAAGGGGCGAAGTATTTTGGCTTAGCCAGGGGGCTAAACTGTTTTTCTAACAAGGGAGAGAAAATGGGGCCGCAACTGAAGCAATGAGATGGTAAGCAAACTATTACACTAGGGAAGATGAATATTGATAAGAGAAAGTGCTTACTCCAAGAAATATAAGTGGCTAGCTAGTCAAATTAGATTCCTCTGATTAAAACCATTGCTGATTGACAGACATAATGTTAGCACACATTCTCCAAAAAGAAGAAAGAAGGAAAATCTGTCTTGATGGCAACCACAGCTTTTGAATGCAAATAATCTAAAAAAAAAAAAAAAGGCAAACATATTTTCTCCTTCGTACCATCCTTCTTCACTTCCTTGGCATATCATACTTTCTCAGGTGTTTATATTGTTATTGTTTCATTAGCAATAGGCAATGCGGCTGGCAGGCATGCATGCAGACTTACAGAAAAGAGAACTTTATTCAGCATGATGAGTGGCCAGTGTTATGTAATGAAGCTCTGGAGTTCTATGTGCAATCAGCCTGGGCCTGACTTGGATCCATGAACACCTGGTGTCATGCCAGACTAAGGCCTCCTGAAGCCTGACCCTCTTTTTCCTGTTCCACTTATCATACCGTCATCAGTAGAAAGATGGGACAGGCATCAAAATATTATCTGATTACAATAGATTCAGAACATCTTAAAACATGTTTGGAATCACTGAATGTAGTGTGGATTACACTGATTTATTAGTTTTCAATACTGAGCAACTTAACTTCTCAATTTGAATGTTGAGTACAAGTGAACTACACCCCTGGTTATGGTTTCTTTTGAATTAGAAAAGACAACACAATCCATTGGATAGTATATAAAATAGTTGGACTGTGACAACTGTCTTAGATAATACTAAATGAGATCAAATTTAAAAATTCTGCTTGCTGATACTGACTTCTATAAATAAATGGAAAAATTCAAGCAATTGTTAATAAATAATAATATTAAACACAGTCAATCTCTATGCAGGCTTTTGTTTATTGTCCTATAATCTTTATTTTGACCACCCTGGATCTATATGTTAGTTGAAGACTGCAGTTTTGTTCATCTTTATCTTAACTTGCAAGGACATGATATGATTTTTCTAAGAACATTTAAAATCCATGTTTATATGTACTCCTTCCATATCAAATATTAAGTAGAGAGAGGCTTAACCCCAAGCCCTGTATCTAAACACCAGATCTGGCTAAGAGTTTCCAGCTCAAATCCTTCTCTAAAATGGACAGAATCTGAACACTAGATCTACACATTCCAAAACTAGGGGAAATTTAAATTCAGATTTCAAATCCAAAAATTCAGATTTGCATCTGGGATTGAGATTGCATCTCAGAATTATGGAGATAGAGTTTAGATCCAAGGTTTTGTTTAGGCTGATCTGTACAATTAAGGACATCTGGAAACATGTTCCACTAGGCTGGTATGACATACATGCTACCACTTGATATTCCATTGAAAATCTGCTGCTGACATATGCACAGTGTCTAGCAGCATTTGATACAGTTAACTCAAAACGAAAGTATTAAAAAGGCATTAGTTCTGATATTTGTTTTCAAAACTTTAATTTAGGGAAATCTTCTGACTTGAACAGAACATTTATTAATGTTTCACTGTGTTAGGTTGACCACAGCTTACAATCCTTTCAAATCAATCTGAACAACTATCTACCATAAACTCTTTTATAAAAAGAAACTTTAAAGGTTTGTCAGAAAAAAAGAAGTTTAGAAAATAAATATATGGGTCAGGGTCTTTCAACAAAGAAAATGTCACACAAAAAGAGGATTTAAGATCCACCTGATTTGCCAGCACACTGAAGATGTTGTCATTTTCTGGCAGGCACTGAATTTCAGTAATAGTAATAAATAAATAATATCTAGTTTTTATATAGAGCTTATCAGTGAGCTCAAAGCAAAGATGTTATCATTAACCCCATTTTACAGATGGGGAAACAGAGGCAGAGGGCAAGAGGTGAAGTGACTTGCCCAAGGTCACCCTGCAGGCCAATGGCAGAGCTAAGAATAGAAATCAGATCTGCTGAGATCAAGTTCAGAGACCTACCACTAGACTATACTGCCTATAGGTATGTGATCATTTGCATATACATAAATGGGTGTCTAGCAAGTACATGAGTACAAATCCCGGACTCATGTATGTGCATGGCTCGGTGAATACTTACATAGCCATATGCATGCATACAAATTGTTGTCTATCAAATGCATGAGTACCAATGCCTGACTTGAGATCACACATAGCTAGCTAAGTATTTACACAGTCATACGCATGGTACTTGCATCTAGTCATGAATACGTGAATGTGTGGTTACCTAGTTACTGAAAAGTTGCAGATTTTCAGAAAAAATTGATTTTTGAATGTTAATTTTGCTGTAGCTTTCCTTTAAAAAACATCTGTAGATTATGTACAGTTGGAAAACGGTATTTTTAAACTAGGCAGCATTATCTAGTAAACTGAACATGCATGTGAACACGAGGGGCTCCTGAGTCATAATCTTGGCTCTGGCATTGTGTGACTTTGGATAAATTATTTAACATCATTAAGTCCAATTCTGGAACCCACACTTAGGACCAGTCTACACGAAGACATGTGCATGCAAGCACGGGTGTAAATCTACAGTACACTAACCTGCCACACCCTAAATTGTCATGTGGATTCTGCTACCATACACTAAAATTTCCATAGTATATTTGGAGGTACTGTATCAGCAGCACTTGTTAAATGGGATAATAATTCCTCATCTCCCTACATTGTGCTGTATTATTTTACTGGGAACCAGCTAGTCATATTTAAAATAATTTGCCCATTTACACCAAAAATGTGACCACCTGTATCAAAACTCTACCAGAAAAATGCATTTATTCAACATAAAGAAAAAAATCCTTATGGCATAAATGCTACCAAATTAATAAATGTCATTGTTGAAAGACATAAATGTCAAAATACATTAGCTTTGGAAAATAAGAATCATAATGTGGTCAGTTGCACATGCAAATAATGACTTTGCATATGTTAATATGACAGAATACTTGACATAACACAAAACAAAGCCAAAAATAAGACAGGTTTTCTGTTAAAACCATACAGTATTTGTATTTCTCAGAATTGTCTTCTAGTTCTCCATTTTTTTCCCAGGCTGCTCAACTTGTACATATAAGCTTACAAACCATTTCCACCAGGACATTTAATATCTTTAGCTCAGGAGAAAACGATATTAATATGGGCTCATCACATTTTTTCAGTTCTGTAACAAAGATGAAAGAAGACCTGAATACCAGATACCCTATTCAGTAACAAATTCTCTTCAAGGCCCCCTGGGCTTGTGTTTCATGGGATGCAATCTCACCCACTCCATTAGTTTTTTTTAAATCATATAGTGTAGATTCCTGGTGCCTTTTGTATTTTATAAAAATTCTAACAGCTAAATAAAACAAGTAATCAAGAAGCATGTACACTGAACGAATAGGAGCTCATTCCCTACCCCTTCCATCTTCGTAGTCAACCAACAGCTGTGTGACACACTTCATTGTGACAGATCCACATGTGCTTTGCAAAATACTTAAGTACAATCACTCTAATGCAGTCTCAACAGAGGTGGAAGAAGCAGCCAACTCGTTATGCAGCAAAGGACACAGGGTTGGCCAAGAACCTAGGGTAAAATTTGTTCTACCAAAAATGCCACAAATCTTTAATCTCAGAAGAAAGCAGTCACAAACGCCAAGCGCTGAGGTGAAATACTCCATGTATTCCACTGGGTGGAAGTGAAGCTGTGTCATTTCAGGGAGGAAGGACACCTAGTCCAACAGTGTTGGGATCTACACCTGGAGGTCCCAAGAAACCTGAGTGCTTCAAACCAGACACTCAGGACACAAAGTAGCCAGGAGGACAGACCATCACGGTTCTCCTCAGTTAGGCCACGGAGTGGAGGTTGACAGCCTGTAGGGGAACACAGTTACTCCAGCAGCCCGGTACTTCGCTACTTAGGACAGGAAGGAAAGACCGGGCAGTGCAGGACCCAGGGAAGGGGCATACTCGTAAGGGAGGACCAGACCGCTGCTCTCTTCCCGTCGGCCGCGACACTCGCGCGCCCCCTAGGCCGGCGCTGGGCGCCGCGCTCCCAGCCCTTCCCACGCCCCCTCCCTTAACCCGCCCCGAGCGCGCCTTCGCCCTGCGCGCAAGGAAACCACGCCTCCGTTTCCCGCGTCCCGTCCCAACCAATCGGCTCATTTTAGAGGCAAAAATGCCCAGCCCCAAAGAGCGGATTGGCGAACGGTTGTGCCAATTAGACCACTTGGCCCGCCTCCCGCCTCAGAGGAAAAACACTCGAGGGACGCGGAAAAACACAAGATGGCGGTGCTGGCTGACGGCCAAGTCCCAGGCAGAGCCGCCGCCATTAGACCCCCCCCCTCCCCTCCGGTGTGCGCTCTGTCGATCTCTGAAGGGCCCGGCCGCGGCTGTGGGGGAGCGGCCGGTAAGATGGCGGCGGTCCCGGCCCCGTATGCAAAGTACCCACCGCCCCCTCCCCTCCGCCCTCCCGGTGGCAAAGGTAAAAGGGTCGGGTTCAAGCCGCCGCCTCCGCCCGCTCAGACTCCATCTTCCTTGTGTGTGGCCAGGGTTTCTCTACAGTGTGGCCGGACCCCTTCGCCCGCAGCCACCCAGCCCGCCCGGACAGCAAGTTGCTCGCACGAACGCCAGACCGGCTCGGAACCTAGGCGGGCCCGACTCCGCTGAGCGGCTCCGGAGCGGACTCCGGCTCGATCGGCCCGGCGGCTCCCCGAGACCCTTTCAGGGAGCCACCTGTCAGCCCACCCCGACCTAGGCACGGCCGGCTCCCAGCTACCACCGACACCCGGAATCGGAACAAGGGTGCTCGCAAAGCCGGGCCCCCGCCGCTTAAACCGAGCGTGTTCTTTTCCCCAGGGGCCGCCTGGCCACGATCCCGCCGCCCGGCCCCGTTAACATCAGCCGGCGCGGGGTATTTTAATTTAGGAAAAAACCATTTACCTCCGGTTTTGGCGCCAAACGTGCCCCGACGGTGACCCGGGTCCAACCGGGCCTGTTAGGCAGCGATGCTGGGCGACGGCCCCGAGAGGGCGGAGGGAAGGGTGGAGGGGGGGGGGCGCGCTCGGGTTAGTATTATTTGTTATGGGGGAGGGGGTTTGTTTGGGTTTTGTGCCGTGCCCCTGTGAAAGGTCAGAGTTCGTGACCCCGCCCGCCGCTGCTGCCGCCTGGGAGCGTTTCCCCGCTTCCTCTTCCCAGCCCCACGCCGGCCACAGCCCCCTCCTCCAGCCTCCTTGCGGGGCGGGGCCGGGGGACGGCAGCGGCGGGGAGGGGCTACCTGAGCGCCTGGATGGAACGCTCGCACACCAACGTTCCAGCCGGCCCCGGGGGCCGAACGGGCGCTTTCCCGCCCCCCTTCCCCGGCCTTGCTGGAGACGGGGAGGGAGGTGTGCGGTATGCGGTGCTTCCCCCGCACACGACGTGCCGCTGGAGAGGCGGCTCAGAGCTGTGTGTCCCTCCATTTGTTGTTTGGTTGGGGGGTGAGCAGATGCGTTCACTCACCCCAGTTACTGTTGTGACAGGGAGAGCATCTGAGGAGGTTTCCCAGACGTGAAGATCACCCTCTCCCAACCCTTATCGCCTTGCTGTGAGGAGAAACTCTTTGTCCCAGACAGGTACTGTGGGCAGTCATGGTTTACCTCCTGGACCATAAGGTTTGCCTGTACTCTTCTACTTCGAGATAATTGATGGCCTGTTAACTGAAGGTGAACTATGTGTTTGTAAAGGCCAGTGTGGCTGCTTCCCAAAGCTTTTCTGTGGTGTCAACACAGCAATCAGAGGTGTGACTGCAGCATGAGTAGGCGTACTCAAGATATCTTTAGTCTAGGGGCTTGGTCTACACTAGGAAATTAGGTCAGTATAACTGCATGTCACTCCGGAGTGTGAAAAATCCACACCTGGGACTGACACAGGTAAACTGACCGAACCACCAGTGTAGACAGTGCTAGGTTGATGGAAAATTCTTTCATCGGCCTAGCTACTGCCTCTGGGAGGAGGTGGATTACCTATGCCAACGGGAGAACCCCTCCCGTCTATGTAGGTAGTGTCTTCACTGACGCACTGCAGTGTTTTATGCGTAGACCAGCCCTAACAGGCATCCCGATAGCAGTGAAGCTGCAGCAACACAGTCTTCAGTGCAGACAGTGTAAGCCTACCAGGGATGCCTGGCTCTAGTTACTGAGACAGCTAGCCTGCACTGAAGCCTGTGCTGTCATGGCTTCACTGCTATTGATACTCCTTCTGGCAACATTAACTAGTTAGCATATGTCTAAATGAGTATGAGTTAACTGTGTAGACATACTCTCATGCTGTGTCTTCACCAGTAAAAAGGTGTTCCTTTTACAATGGAAAATTCACTTTTTTTACTAGTGAAAACAGTTGAAGAGGGAGATGCCCTATGCTTTTACTCAACGTAGAGTTTGCTCATGAAACCTTCAAAGGCTATGCCTTCATAGCCAAAAAAGGTGTATTTTACAGTGAGATATCAATTTAAAATCCTAGTGGAAACAAGGCACATGCAGTTTTTTACCTCAATGAAGTCAGAGGCTAATACTTTTGATTAACATAAGAGTGGCCATGCTGGGTCAGACCAAAGGTCCATCTAGCCCAGTATCCTGTCTTCTGACAGTCCCTGCAGAGTAACTGGTGATGGTGGTGGTAGGCTATTATCTTTTATGTGGGCACGCCACTAGAGGTGGATGGCACATACATTTTGCTAGTGGGTTTCAAAGATGTTTGTTGAAAGCAGAGGAATTTTGAGACTTAACAATCCTGGATTCTATTTGAGGCCTGTAGGGGTATGTGCTCCAGTGGCTATAAGCCCTTCTGTCCCTGTTTCTCCTTCTTCCTTGTTTTCCCCTCTATTTGCCTCATTCTTCTGGCCTACACGCCCTTTAGCGTGTCCCTACTGTCTGCCCATAGTGTTTCCCATTCTTTTGAGTTAGGATGCTTTCTTTTCCACCATGCTGCCTTGGCACCTGCAGGAGGAACATTGAGGACACTCCTTTCATCTCTCCCTCCTTTCATTTCTCATGCCTGATGCCAAAATGTCCCATCAATGAAGTGGTTGTAATGATTATTTAACATGGTAAAATAAGAGTTTTCTTTAGCCTCTTTCTCAAAAAGGGCTAAAGAATTTTTCGTGAAACTTTCTAAAATACCAAAAAAAAAAAAAAAATTTTAGAATGAGGCAGATGTTCAGTATGGAAAATTTCAGCCTAAATCATTTAAGTTGGGCAAAGCTCTAAGTAACTGAAAACAGGCTGTTATAATGAAAAGTGTTTAGGCAATCCTTTCTATAGACATTGCTGCCAGCTCCACCTATAATCTGTATTTCACCTGTTGCTGTGATAACAGCTCCAAAACGAGTTATCTCACCAGTTGTAGAGATGCTCAGTGTAGAAGAGTGTTTAAATGCAGTGCTGGAATTTAAGTGTTTGTCTTAGTGTTAAATGGAAACCTTTTTCACCCTGCACGTTGAGCTCACAAATTTCATGGGGAGGGTAAGACTTGAATGCATCAGCCTGTCTTGACATACTGCAAACGATTGGGGAATGCTTATGTTCGCACTGAACTCTAGCATTCTCAGTTTGCATAGATTCTTGAGTAGGCATTCTTTTTCTATTATATATACAGACATCTTATATCTTAATTATTCAGTAATGGTTTCTTTGTTGCTTTTCCCTCTTCATTACACCAATAATACTATTTGAGTAGACTTGAAAAAAGATATTCTTGTGGGGGTTTTTTTAGATTGTCTGTCTATAATTTGCATGGATCGCTCTAGTTAATTTGTATTTTAGGTGTGGGGACAACTTGATCAAATTAATTTATGATCTTGATTGTCTGCTAGCACCTTAAACAAACTTTGTTGCTTCTCTGTGTATCTTCTGTAGGTCTGTGATCACAATGTTTTTTGACAGTAAAGAGTATGTGACCAATTGACATGATATACCTAGGTGTGTTCAGTTCATACTGCTAAAGGGGCAGTTCTCAGTGTGGAACAGCGGGTCATCAGAAACACAAGTGAGCCAATAATGCTATTTTAGTTAATCTTTACATCTCTCTGTATGCATATAGACTTTGAAGAACTATCAAGGTGTGCATATGCAAAAATAAAGTGTTTGTGAGATGATTGTTATATGCCTTTTTTCCCTCATTCTATCCCTTCCCTACTATTTGTCATTATGTCATATCTTGTATTTAGATTATAGGTCCTCTGGGGGAGAGACCACGTCTTTGTATGTCTTCTGTGATGTATCTTCTATACTTTTGGGCACTATAAAAAATAAACAGAACAGTACATGGGGTTTCTAGATTTACAGATTAAGGACAGAAGCGACCTTTGTAATCGTCTAGTCTGACTTCCTGCATAAAACAGATGGTAAAATTTTACCCAGCAATTCCTGTCTTAATTCCATAATTTCTGGATCTTTATCACTCTAGTTTAAGAAAAGCAGACCATTTAAAATCATGGTTTTGAAAAGGAAGGAGAAGTTGTATCAGATATTGGATTATGGCACTCATAGTACAATTGGACAGTTCTTTTTTTATGAAACTGATTTGTTTTCTAAGAATATCTGGGAAAGGAAAAGGCAATTTTGATGGTAGACTAAAGACTTCTCATTACAAGGAATAACAGCTGACAATATTTCTGGAGCTTGTAGATCTGCTACAGAATTGATCCAATATTAATTTGAATTTTGTCTTTTTAAACCAAATATTAAATAGTCTTATTAAGCAAACCCTAAACAGTTTCAGAACTGCTTTCTTAACAAAGGAAAAATAAACTAATTGGGAAGAGAATATGATGTTAGGGCCCTGACTCAACTCCCATTGAAGCCAGTAAGGGTATACCTGGGGCTGGCCTGAGTCAGCTAAGTTGGGCTTGGGTTAAAGACTGTAAAATTGTTATGTAGAGGTTTGGGCTGCAGCCAGAGCTCTGGGACCTGAGAGGAGAGAGGGTCCTACAGCCTGGGCTGCAGACTCACAGAAATGTCTATGCAGCAGTTTTTAG